AATTTATGAAATCGTATTCAATCTAAACACAATAAAATCACAAAATAACTTACAGTTTGCACACAAAAATTTAATTTTTTTCAACTAATAGGAACTATCGCAAAATTGCGTTATGAAAATAATGTGTTTACGGTTTTGACAGATTATTAATGTCGACGTATACGTAACCACAGCTGTCATAATATATACGTAACTTCGTATTTTCACATTGTGGAGAATTTTTTCTGTTTCATTAATAATGAATCATTATTTTCTGTAATAAATAGAAATTTATTTATTTATAATTCTAATAGAATGAATTTGAAAAAATAAATAGAATCATTTATATGAAATAAAAATAATTCTAATTTGAAATAATACGATTTTGTTAGGTTCCCATAGAATGGTGTGAGTATTTATAATTTAGTTGTATTATTTTATATGCTTTATGTGTGTGTACAATGATTTTTAATTGATTTAATTTCAATTTGATTTACTTGAATGATTTTTAATACAATTTTTTGTGTTGAAACTATAACATTCAAATACATTCCAAATTATTGAAATAAATTTGATTTTTGCATCTAATTCACACTAAAATCAGATGGCGCTCATTAGCGAGATTCGCAAAAAAAAGTCTCCAATCTCATATACGTCAACCCCCCTTGGTTGTAACATTTTTATTTTGAACAACACACACGAATGTACAAAATCAAATACAGTCGATTCGATTCATCCACAAAAGCCAGAATTTAAACAATTAGATAAGAGCGAATGAGCTGCGTTCCGAAAACTGTGATTTTTTAAACTTTTTGTGGTTTTAGCAATTTTCAGAGCGTATTCTTACCTTTACACACAGATAATTATTTATCTCCTTCATTTCTTTTTTTCCTAAACACTATTTAAGAGACTTTCAAATTCAAAATGACATTTTTATTGTGCTGACAGGTTTTTTTGTTTATTTATTTGAAACTCTTTTTCGAAACAATTCACTTGAATAACAGACGTTTCTGTTCGCTTCAAAGCTATTTTAGTTTGTTATAACATCAACAATAATAAGAAAATTAAAAGTAGTAAAAAGACGATTAAAAAGGTATAAAAAAGTTGCTTGATTTCAACTTGGGTTGATCGTTGTCATGCGATTTATGCGCAATTGATGAAAATATATGTAAATGTATCATCACATTCGGCAATTATTGGTTGGAATGAATTTGGATAAAATTGTTCAGTTGCTTGAGCAGTATGAAATATCTTTCCGAATAATTCTTCGTCGCCTGTTTCATTGAAGTTCACGGAATTGACAATTGCGATGAACATCGGTCCATCATGTGGTATTGTGATATCACCAACAGTGTCAGAAAACTCGACGACCCGCTTCGATTCATGACATTCACAATCATCATGAAGTTTCACCGCATGGGTAATGAGACGATCATATTGTTCCGCAATTACCGAGTCCGGGTCATAGTTTTGAAACAACACACCTGTTTTCAATTCCATTTTGCGTAATTTTTCGGCACATTTAACCATGGCCCAAAGTTCACCCTTTTTCACATTTAGAATGCTCATCTTGATCATTTCCAATTGTTTCAAATGGCCCAACATATCCAAGACCAAATCGATGTCAGTGTAAGTTTCACGAACAAATGTAAATATTTTCAATTTTGGTAACTTTTCGGTAATCAGCTTACACATGTGGATGTCGATTACGACAGTAATCTCCAACGTCTCAATTTGTGGATTCAATTCAATAAAACGACCAAATCTCCGACCATCCTCGGAATTTTGTTGGAATTTCATCTCGCCGAGAATCGCCAAAACAGTTAGTGATGGCCAGTGGCGAATGTCTGTGACTGAACGTTCCCATGACTTTGCAAAAATGAGTAAATCTTCCAAACTTGGACAATAGTCACGTAAATCATAGATAGACACCTTTGTTGATTGGAAGGTTGCTGATAGTTCTGTCAAGCGTCGAAGCATTGGTGTAAAATTATCCAACATCTCAGTCGTTAATGCAGGGCCATTGATAGACAAAGAACAGAACTTATCACCAACAGAAGAACAAAGAATTTCCACCACCCGTTTTATGTATTCATCAAATGAAAGACAATTGATATCCTTTTCGATAAAATCGAAATCCAATGTCAATTTTCGCAGTTGAAGTTTCAGTGGACGAACTGTTTTTCGGATAATTTTTAAATTTCTTTTCTCGAACGGAATTCTCAATGTTAATTCAGTGTGCTCGCAAAAATGATCGGATAGATTCGATAATTCATCCAAATCTATGGCTCTGACTTCATGTTTCGGCCATTTCGGGTCATTGCAATGATGAGTTGTGTCAGATACGAACGTGGACGCTCCAAAGTCTTTAAGTTCGAAGCCTGCTTGATGCCATGTGTCAGCTGGTAGAACCTTGATTGCATTTGAATTGACGCGATTTTTCGAAAATGCCATGAAAGCATCTGAACTGCGTACATACGTAACGTACGCCTCATGAATGTTTGGTGTAATTGACGCACTTTCGTCAACCGATTGCCCATTTACTGTCTCCACCAATTCAACGTTACCATACAATTCGAAATACTTGCGAATGTCGTCATTGCAAGCTTCTGAACCATTCTGAAAGGGAAATTCAAAACGAAAAAAAATTAAAATGGAAACGATTTTGTTGCTTTGAGATCTTTTGAGTGTTCATGATTACAATCATAAAAAAGGCGAATAAAAAATACGTACCTCTTTCGGCCATTGCACAAATAATGTCCGAACGATGGAAAACTTTTTTTTATCGTATTCGTCAGAATCTTCGATCAAACGCCACTCGTAGTCATCCCAGATAAATAATTTCATGTTTGACCGATTTCCTTGTTAAATATGAAAATATTTGTGAAAATCTCACCGAATCACTTTTTTCGTTATTTGCGACTTACTTGCAATGCGTACTGGAACAATAGCGTCTGTTTAGTGGAATTGCACCACAAGCAGAAATGAAATATAACCCAAACAATTCGATGTGTTCAATTTTTTCGCTTGTTCTTGTCTGTGTGACAATTGGATTTTCGCGAGAATTTTCTACACCAAACAAACTCAAATTCAATATTGTTGTCTTCTATGACGAGCAAATTTTTGGAATTTTGATCGGGTTTATAATTATTTCAATTTTCAATTAGACAAAAAAAAATGGTCGGCGTCTTTTCTGAACCACTGTGTACGATGTAATGAAGCCTCTTTCGAGTGTATCAATACAAATAACATTGTGTATATGTCATCAAATATGTGTATGTGTGCAAAAACATGGATGCATGGAAAAATTTGCTGTCATTTCAAGTTTTGCGAAATTTTTAAACCCGCTCGTTTGAACGAGAACAAAAAAAAAACAAATTGTGATGACAATATGAGAGTTTATATAAACAAAGCTATTATCGGTATTGCTGAATTTCTCTGGAAAATAAGAATACTCTCCTTTTTACTGGAATTGAGTATAAAATTGTTCGGAATGACTTGTGTATATTGAGCCTATAATTGCATTTGTATTGGTAGTGCCAACTTGATGCTATGCTGACACTGCAATATTTATAAATTCAAAATTGGAACGATGTTTTTCGGTACAAATGAATGTGTCAAATATGTATATTTACCCGAATATTTCGCTTCGCCCGAATACTAAGTGTTGTATACATGAGCAAATGAATAAATAAACGCAGATTTGAAAAAAATAAATTATTGTTAAGACAACAAAGTATGATTATATTCTAGAAGTTTTTGATAATTGATTTACAAAGAGAATTTGCATATGAGTAACTCATATTTATTAAAATATGTAGATATGTACGTTAAAATGTTTAGAAAAAAATTGAGAATTTCTGTTCAACTTTCTGAAGTTGTTCTCATCAAAATAGAATATGAATTGTCGGCATTTAAATATTGAATGGTGTAATTTTGAGTCATTTTCCAAGTCAATAATGATTAGGCGCTGGAAATGTTGATAAATTTGCAATAGTCACCGACGTCCAATGTGACCGTTTTGATTGTGTTCGGATAAAATTCCAGCATGTCTTTGAATACACCATTGATGTCGTTTGCTTGTTCAATTGCGCCTTCCGGAGAGGTGGTCGGTTTTGTGTTAATAATGTTAACCACGACTGGTTTGTTGTTTCTGGGCAAGTTCACTTCATCGATGGCATCAATGTTGATGGACACGACTCGGTTTGGTGCATGACATTCGCAATTTTCATGAAATTTGACCAATGATACCAAATGTTTAAATTGTTCTTCGCGTGGCATTGGTTCCAAATCAAAATTTTGAATCAATGTTACCGCTTTTAATTTTTTCATTTGTCTCAGTCGCCGAACACAATTTACCATTCTGCCAAGATCATTCTTGTCCACGACCAATGTTAGAATGCTGATATTTGTGAGATGTTTGGAATCAGCGAAGAGATCCAAGATCTGTATGATGCCATTGTAGGTTTCTCGGCCGATTATCAAAATTCTAAGACTTTTCAGACTTTTTGCAATGGCCTTGCACAAGTTATAATTAGCAACCAAGTCCAATTGAAGCATATTAAGATGTTTGTTGATTCCGATGAAACGGCGAAACTTTTTTCCACTTTCCGTGTCGAGGTCAATTGTCAACGTTCCCTTTATGACCAAAGTCGAAATTGATGGCCAATGTTTTGGCATTACAGCAGAGCACTCGCCTTCCCATGAATTGGCTTCGATGATCAAAGAACTGAGGCTCGGGCAATATTCGGACAATGCATATATAACCGAAGCATTTGAATCAGATTTCAATGTAAGTACTTTGAGTGGCCGTAACAATGGAGCCAAACTTTTTAGCATTTCTTTTGTAATTGCATCAACACCGTAAATGTTCATTTCATAGTATTTTTCACCGATGCAAGTAGCTACAACTTGTGTCACACGCTTGAAGTATTGCTCGTTTGAAATACAATTCTCGAGATCACCTTCGGGTGCCATTTCGTAATGCAGCTTCAAAGTTTCAAGACGCGATTTCATTGGACGGAGATCTATACGGATCTCTTCCAGACTCATATCTTTCGGATCAATTATTACGTCAAAAGTATCCGACGAATAATCGTGCATGGCCAGTGTAGCTAGATCGTTGACGATGTTATTGTCATCGAAATTATTCCAACATTGGCATTCGTGCAAACATTTGTCTTCGGCATATTCATTGTAAACATTTCTCGGTTGATGCCATGTGTCAGCTGGAAGAACCGTCATTGTATCCTGTCGATGGGCCATGAATGCATTGTATGCATGTTCACTTTTTGAAAATGTCACGTATGCTTCGAAAATATCTTCACTCGGTTCGGCGTATTTGGTACCTTTATCAATACGAATTTTATACTTAACTTATTATTTTAAAAGTTTAATTACTAAGATTTAAAAAAATATCTATTACCATTCACTGATTCGACTGATCTGATTTTTCCATAGCGCTCGAAGTACTTGAGAATCTCAACTTTCGGAACTTCTTCGTCATTCTGTTTGATATTAAATGAAAACTCTCTTCAACAAAACAAAAAAAAAAGAAGAATGAATGTAATGCTTTTAGTTACCGCCATTTTCCACTGAACAAACAACTTCTGAACGACACAAAATTCTGATCTATCAAAATCTTCGTGGCGATCAGCCAACAGCTTCCAACTGTAATCGTTCCAAATAAACAATTTCATATTGTTTCAATTTATTTTAATGCACAAAAATTCGATAAATTGCGATTGATTATGGTGAGTTGCAAAAATTCAATTCAAGGATTTTGTCTTCTAAGACATTTGCCAGCAACACGATGGAGTGTAGTCAATGTACTGCGTCGCATTCACAAATAAGTCACAGGGACGATAAAAATGGCGGCGAATGGAGCTTTTTTCGCTGTGTGAGTGTGTATTGGACTGTGTGGAACTGACAACATTTTCAAAATTCGACCGTTTATTTGGTTGGTATTAATACGGATTTTTGACTTTTTTCAAATTAAAAATGACATCTTTCAAATCTATTTGAATGAAAAAAGGCTCATATATTTTATCTCATTCCATGAATTTATTAATCTCATATTTTTACCATTTACTTCAGCAGAATTTCATCATTTTTCTTACCATATGCATTGAAATATTTCCAAGTGCTGTAAAAGTAGTTTTTTCAATAAAAAATATAAGTCCATTGAATTGATTTTTATTTTATTGTGTTTTATTTTTTAAAAAAATTCGTTTGCAGTTTTGATTTCAGTTTAATCTGAAAATGTTATTTTTAAGTATATTTCAAGACGAAAAGAACAAAATCGAGTATGGAATGTAATATCTCTAGACTGTAAAAACGAATACGAAAATAAGAAAAATAAATGAAGTAGTTGAAATTGTGATCATTCACAGTATGATGGTTAACAACACATCATGTGTTCATGCATAGCTAACATGAATGCAGAGAGAATTGTCTTCGTCGTTAATTATAATTGGTGTACCATCGACGATATTTGGGAAGAATTTCTTGGCCTTTTCGAATGCAATGATTGGCGCCACAAGTAAATCCATGTCTGCATTGTTGTCCTTCAAATTGAACGTGTTGATGAATGTCGCGAATACTGGTCGATTTTCAGGTAGATCCAGCATTTTATTGATGCCACCCAATTGTAATTTGCGAACATTCGGTCCATGACAACTGCATCCATCGTGTACTTTCACTGAATATGTGAACAAACGAAGGAACTGCTGATTTTGGGGTGGTTCGAGATTTTGAAACAATGTAACCAATTTGAGTTGTTTCATTTTGCTGAATCGTTCGGCGCATGTTGCCAATACATTGAGTTCATCCATTTGAACTTTCAGAAAGCTTAGTTTCACACTTGACAAGTGTTTCATTTGTGCCAATAAATCAACAATGGCATCGATGTCATTGTAGTTTGCGTGAACTGTGGCCAAAGAATACACATCTTTGCAGTGCTCTGCGATCGATCGGATCACATTGATATTGATCAATGTATTGAGCTCAATTTGTTCCAATTGTGAATTCAATTCGATAAATTGTTGGAGTTTTGCGTTGTCGTTTGTGTCTCCGCCAATGTTCAATTGACCTTCAATCACTAAGCGAACAATGCTTGGCCAATGACGAGCTATTGCATCAGAGCATTCACCACTCCAGGTTTTCGATGTCATGACCAAATCGATTAAATTGGGACAGTAGTCGACTAATACATACAACACCGATGCATTATTCTCAATTTCCAACGTTAGTGTTTCCGTCAATTTCAGCATCGGTGCTAATGCATCAAGCAATTCGAGTGTGATCGTATCGGCTTTGGTGATTGTCAGCTCATTGAATCGATCACCGATAATCTTGCTGATCACTTGGATGGCCCGTTTCACATATTCACGGTCTGTCAAACAGTTGATATACATATCGGTTGGCACGAAATCGAAAACAATGTTCACATGCTCAACACGTTCTTTCATCGGCTTAAAACATTCCAACACTGATTTCAAGCCCATTGGTTGACGGAGGTGAATCGTTGGCACAACGGTAGCGCACTTACACATATGTGTTTCATCATTGATCAATTCGGAAACGGTGATGTCCTCGCACTCGAAATCATCATTTTTGGCTTTGATTTGTTCAGGTAAACGTAATTCAACACCGGGCTGACGCTTAAGACGATATTAATTATTGAACTTTATTTTATTTTGTATGTGAACAACTATTATATTGATTTTGAGCTAAATTTTACTTACCCAAGTATCGGCTGGAAGCAATTGTATTGCTTTTGTGCCACGTCGACCGGCCATAAAGGCATAGTAGGCGTCTTCACTTCGGGCAAAAGTTACATACGCCTCATGAATGTCGAAAGGTGATTCTTCGTTGACTACTTCTACAAATTCAATGTCACCGTACGCCTCGTAATGCTCACGAATTATCTTGTTGCAAGTCATTGCATCACCCTGTTTGTGAGAAAAAAATCAAAACACACATAGGTTGGAAAAATATTTGTTGAATTTTTTTTTCGATACTACTTACTTCTTTAGGCCATTGCACGAACAATTTTCGAACAACGAAAAAAGATTTCTTGTCATATTCGTCAGAATCTTTGATCAAACGCCACTCGTAGTCATTCCAGATGAACAAATTCATGTTTGGTATACAATATGCAAAAATCTTCAAAAATCAATTGAATTACTTCTGTTTAAATATAACAAGTATCCACACGAGTCCTTACTCGTGTGATGAAACAATGGGTCTCTTCAGTGATATCGCGCCGTAAGCAGAAATGAAATATGATCCAAGCAATTCGATGTGTTCGTTTGTGCGTGTCTGTGTGACGATTGTGATTTTTGAAATTTCTCATCGAAGTAAACTCTAATGTTGTATCAGCAAAATGAAGTGTCCAACAGGATTGAATGTGTATGTGAATGAACCGAACAATCGAAAGATGGAAGAAGTTTGCACAACTACATACTCATATTCGTCGTGTTGCATTCGAGCCTACCAATCACAAATGATTTTACAAAAGTGTTGTATTCAAATGTGATGTTTTTCTTGAAAGCAAGCCTCTGGCAACACTTCGGCCAACTCTTTCCTATTTTCGTGCCGTACAGTAAAATTGAAAATTCATTTTAATGAAAATGAAACAAAGACCATGTTCAGATTGTTTTCTTTCTGTTTTCAATGTTCATTTATTCTATGTCTTTTTTATTTATATATTTAGAGTATTTTACAAATTATATTATTTTTCATTGAAAATAATTATCCAAATTATTAATTAAAAAAATAGTGGAATACTTAAAAAAGAACGATTTTTTACATGGATTTCTCCATATTGAATTCTAGCTATCCTCCAAATTGACTGTATGCATTTTCCAAATCGCTGACTGCATTCTTTCTAGCAGCCTGAGATTTCTCAAAGGTAACACCGTATTTAGTTGAAGAAATTAAGTTTTCCTTTGGATTCACCATATTAGCACCAGAAGGGAAAAAATATGATGTTTTAGAAGAAGAAAAAGAATATATTCAATGTTCCAAGAAAACTTTACCGAAGATATGAAGAGTTCAACAACATAAACATAGTAAAACAATAAGAAATAGTGTATGATGAATGTCTATATGTCTTGACTAAATTTGATGGTAATATATTCATGTAAAATATAGAACACAATGTTTCAAGTGGTAGAAAAAACTCAACCGAACAAATCAGCCAGAGAAATGAAGGCGTTGAAGTAGTACAATTCGCAGCAATGATTTTCATCACAAAATATAAAAGTGGTTTCCCTCTCAATCATGCGAGAATCATTGCAAATTTTGAATAAAAAAAATTCCGCTTGGTAAATTTTATTAGATGGCTACATTTACGTCACTTCGTTTAATGTCAATTTCGATCGAATTATCGGTTGCTTAACTTGTATAGAAAAGAGATGCTCAGGTGTTCAATGGGCGAAAGAAAAATCGTGCAAAGGGAACAATGAAAAATGAAATAGAAATAGTCCCGGTCGAAAAGTAGCTTTCAGTAGGCATTTTGATGAAGATAAATCGAATGGTATTATATGGAAACGTTTTTTAATATTGTAAACACGAGTATTAGAATGTTCATGTAAAGGATTTGCGCAAACAAGCATCAATGCTTGAAAGTTGTTTTACCTCCGCACTCTGATAGCTATGGATAAAATTGCGTGAACAAGGCAACCGAGTAAAGTGTTTTTCACATTTGATTTTAATATTAGATTGGGCGTTCTCTTGTGATTTTCGCTGGTTGTCAATCAATTTCCGGTGGCGGCTGCTTCGGTGTATTAGTCTGCATTGCGTCATGTGCAAACATTCCGTTAGCTAAAAAAAAATTACAAATTGATAAATATTGTATCAGTTGCTAAGCAATATTCAATTTAAGTAAACCCAAAAGAAGAAAAAAAGAAATAAGTCACATCGGCTTTTAGACATTTGCCACACAGTGAGTTCGTGTTTTTTTCTCCTCTATCTATTACTTTTTTCTCATCGATTTCGACTTATTCTTCCATTTACAATTTATTATGAATGGAATAAAGAAATGATAAGAAGAAGAAAAATGACAAAACGTGATTGTCGCAGACTATGAGAAGATACAAACAGGTAGATTTTCTGTTCATCGTTTGTTACGGACGTCACATAGACACACTTTATCAACACGATATTTATCATATGAAACAGTGATGAAAAGGATGTCTCTGAGAAAATTCAATCGAACTAACAAGTATGATGCGACAAAATATTGAAAAGATGAACGCCATTAATGTTTGATGCAAATTAAAACGATCCAAATAAATAGCAGCAGAACGTCAATTCCAAAATTTACATCGAATCCCCGTAGCGATGCAAAAAAAGCAAAATATCGTCGCGTTTTTTCTATTTCACTTTTTTTTTAAATTGTTTGGATTTGGAAATTGTTTTGCGATGTATTGCATTCGAACCATGTCGGCGACGCCTCAAATCTATCTTTATTTGACCAAAAAAAAGCTGAAAAAGTTTTGTTTAATACTTCTCATTAGTTTATATAAGAGTCAGTGACTCCCAAGAAAGACATACTGTTTTACTTGAATTCCAAGATTTTAAAGAAAAAGAAAAAACAAGAATGAAGACATCAAACTTAACGCAAAGATGCTCAAAAATACAATTCTTTTTCTTTTTTCATTAATTAATACAGTTCTGATAAAATTCAGCACAAAAAACATTCGTTAGTGAAATAAAGAAAAAATCGTCTGCGAACCAGCTTTTTTTCCAGTCATAATTTGTTTTGCTTCATTAGTTCAAAAGAAATGTCTGCCAAAAAAATAAGAAAGTTTTAATCTGTTTCACATTTTCAGTGGCATTTAATTCAATCGGTATCAATGCAGACATACAAATGTAAAAAATAAATGGAAAAGACAAGTTGATGAAAGGTAAATCTATGGTGTACACATACAGAGAGATAAATTGAAATCCAATCAAAAGTCTGGGCAAAAAATTTCAATTTCGAAATGTCATATATTCATTTCCGTTGCATGAAATAAACTGTCCAACTTTTGGCCAAATTCTAAAATAAATAAAATTTCTTACATCCGTAAGATGAACTTTTCCGCACTGTGATCCACAACATGCATTTATTACGTATCTTTTACCGTAAATATGAATTCATGGAAAAATTGAATCTGATATAAGTTTTGCGATACCAATAATTTTTGATAGACTTTTCAATGCCTGTATGATATCATAATCATGTGAAAATTTACAGATGTTATTTTTTTCACAAAAAGCTAAAATTCTGAAATTTTGAAGAAATTTCAATACAATTGAGTACCTTCCATACAAAATGTTCGTTTTTGAGCAAAAAATCCAAAATTTTGTTCAAGACGTACCCCTGTTATGCATTGAAATCTCTTCAAACCCTCGGAATGTTATTTTTGTGTGAAAAAATAACCTGTGCAAAATTTCAGCTCATTACGATATCATACAGGCATGGCTTTCATACAAAAATCCATAATTTTTGAAATTTTTGTATGAAAAGTGTGTCGAAAATTATTTGTATCGCAAAACTAACGTCATATTTGGTTTTATCATACCCAAAAACCCCCCAATACATATTTTTGAGTGTTTAAGAATACATTTAATATCACTTTTAGTCGCTTTTGGAAGACAAATTGAATTTTTCCCATGGATGGCCATGGGCATCACACCAGACATGACACTTCACTCTATCACACCAAAGTCGCTCAAAATCTAATGGTTTCTATTCCTCGGCACCCTAAATCATCCTGTGAAGTCAGATTTTGAATTGATTTTCTTGTTTGAAAGTTATCGTGTTAACAAATTTTTGCGTACAGGGTATGCATATACATTCGGGCATCGAAAAAAAACTAGATTCGTGTTCCCTGGCCCCAAAAACACCCAGAAAACACATTTTTGATGGGTGTTAATTTTTCGACCGATTCCAGTAAGGTTAAGCCTTACACACTAGGTGTGTGCGGAAAAGTAATATTAATTCATGAAATTTGGCAAAAATAAGCGAGGCGTTGACTTCTTTAAACTTATTAAGATTCATGGTTATTTTATGGCATGACAAATTTTACTATTTTAATAGAAACGCACGGAGTCAGGTAATTAATATAGAAAAAATCCCTTCCATAAAAATGGCCGGATGTTGTTGCAGTGATTGTGGACGCTATTTGTGAATAACGAAAAAAAATTATACACACTAAACTTTTCAGACTTTTAGCCAATGTATTGTAGTACTTTGTTCGGCATTGAAAATATGTTTTTCATGGCAAAGTACGGAAACCGCAAAATCCTTTCCTGGTATTGACTCATGAGCCGAGGCTTATATCCAGGCAAAATACTTTGTATTCCATTGCATAATAGCTTTACTAGCGTTTTTTTTTCTTTGTTTCATGATATAGAGCTGAACGAGTAAAGAGAAGAAAAAAAAACAGAACAATGTACTGCAAACCACTCACAACCGCTTGCAGAATGGGAAGAGAGAATTTTTCTGGACATTTTCACAGCTTACACTTCAAAAACAAGCATATTTTTGCAGGAGCCAAAACCTTGTTGCAACAAATAACAATCGTTGTTTTCAAAAGCTTAAGAATTTCTGTAATAATTTTTTTCTCTTCTTGGTATAAAACAAAAACACTAAATAAATATGATTTCCAAGCCATAATTAATAAGAAACTTTGAAATAATCCATTTAATTTTTACAAACATGCAGCACCTCAAAGCTCACATTCTAGAGAATGCTGTTTATATATACTACCTATTCGCTTTGTATGATATTCATGGGGGCTTTCTACATTCTCTTGCCCTTCTTCTCTCCAGTTCGAGATCATGCTATCATGCGAAAATCCAAAATATTTCATTCATTTTCTTACTTTCATTCGGTTGAATGCGAAGCATATAAAGCTGAGGTTCTCATCACAGTTGATTTGGAAGTTTTTTTTGTCGACTACTATAAATTGTCGTCGCTTTAGATGCATTGTAAAGCCAACAAACATACAAAAATACAATACAAACGCCGAAGTAATGGAAGAAATCGCATCCCTTTCCCTCTCACATTTATTTTATCCGAATTAATTTATCATCTGTTTGAGAAAGTTAATTAAAACGTAATTGTTTTATGGATTACTTAAGCTGAGAATGATGTCCACAGCAGTACAGTATCTTAGCTCCCCGTATTAATTGTGTAATTTTGAATCTGTCACCGCTCATAACATATACGCATTTGTTTCATTTTGTCTGCAATTTTCAAGATATCGATTTTATTGTGCCGCCAAAAGAGGACCAGGCCAACTTGCATCAAAGAAAGTCCGTTCCTTTCTATTACAATTCAATAAACCAATTTAATTGTTCATTTTTACAGTATCAAATTTGCTGTGCTCGCGAACATAAATCCACTTTCAAAATGTTAAATCTCTTTTTGGAGCCCAGATGAAGGAGCAAAAAGTTTTAATCCCATTACAGAAACAAAATAATATTGAACCATTTGAGAGATAAAGAAAGTACTTTTATGGATGAAAGTGGAATTGAAACATTGATCATTTCAATTTGGGATTTTTTCTCTCAGTCAAATAAAAATGAGTGAAAAAATTATAGAGCAAAAGGGAAAGCTGTAATAAATTCTCGTGATACGTGTGCATCTGGCCAGTGACTGAAGTGACATTGCTATGAATTGTCGTGCATGGACATTTTTGGATGGCAGTTGATAAATTACATACACACGTCGCTCAAGTCTCTGTTGAAATTATTGCCTTTTGTTTAGATTGGTGTTTTTTTTTCTGGGTGTTGCTTTTGATTCAACATTGATTTCTCTCTCCAGATTTTATTTATGAAAAACCACAAATCGGGTGTATTACCAATGCACCCTTCGTAGTTTTACCTTTTATTCATAATATGCATGGAAATAAATATGAATGAAACTCGCATCCAAAAAAAAAAACAGAGAGGAAAGGAACAAAAAGTGGCACACGCTTTCATATCCATGTCGTTTATCATGTGGGCATCGATTCCATTGAACCCGATTTTCATTTCAACAAGTTCATTTGTGTGTTAGTTGAGGTCATTCAATCATCATCGATGTATTGACCATGGGAACGACCCAAGCAATATTGCTGCTGCACATCATCGAAACCTCTCCAAATGGACAGCCAAATGGATACATTTACACATTCGCATATATGTAACACACCCTTGAACGCACTTTTACCTCTCTCTCTCTCTCTCTCTCTCTCTCTCTCTCTCTCTCTCTCTCTCTCTCTCTCTCTCTCTTTTCCTATCTCTCTTTCTTTCGCTCTGGCCAAGAGGTGGTAGATGCACAGGAAAATCTATGTAGGAAAAACAAATGTCGACATCAATACAAAACGAACTTAAGCACTTCCATGCGAAATGTCATGAATTGGCTACAACGAGAGCCACGCACCATCGCACACTGCTGCATTGTATTATAATACAGAATATGATATTTTATGAGTTCATGACAGACATCACAACCCTTATGAATTAAAGATGAGGCTAATGTATACGTGCTGGAAATAACGAATGGTCCAACAAAATTCCATAATATAATAGCAAAAAAATGCACACAATATACCAAATAATAAAAAAAATCTAAATTTTAGATAGCAAGGGTTGAATTTGAGCATTAAAAACAAAGCTAATATCACAATGGCATTCATATGAAGCCAAATTATTGATATAATTTTTATGAGTTTCGTCCATTTGAAATCATAAAAATTTAAGAAAAAATATCTTTTCAGAAAAGGATAAAGGAACAGGTCAAAATATACGATAAAGTGTATTTTATTATTTGCCTTCAAAAAGGTTTTCATTTTTCAGCTCCACTTTTGCTAATAAACTGATTGCTCGAGAATCATCCATAATTTACTTATAATTGCGTCAAATATAGAATACATTTATTTCAATGTGAGATTTCAATTTGCATTTTTTATAAATCAATTTCAGAAGAAACTTTTGCCTTTTTATTCAAAGTTCCAAAACGAATAAAGCAGAAAATGTCTAAAAATTGGAAATGGATCCAAGCAGTTATCGTACTCAAACTTAACCGTGTGGGCCAAGGGTGGTTAGCTATAAAAGAAATGATGAAGGTCAGACATTATATTGAGATATGTTCAGCTAGTTGAATCAGCTCAGACAGATATTGTGAGGAGGTGAAATTGAGTGAAAAAAATTGAAGTGATTGTTATGGTTATAATTACACTTACATTGCTACAATCACTATAACAATCACTTTTATTGTTTTCACTCTATTTCAGCCAAGCGGGGTTGGCGTATATGAGATTGGGAACTTTTTTATGCGAACGCAGCTGATCAGCGCCACCTCACATTAGTTCGAATTAGATCGAAAAACTGAATTTAATTCTGTAGCATTGAAATGAAAAAGAGAAAAAACAACAACAATAGCACGGCCACACAGAGCTGTACATCTATGCGTGCTGATGCATACATACACATATACGCTTTCTTCATTCTTTCATTCTGGAATGTGGCGTTGTAAATAGTGTGGTCCTCCAAACGTCAAAACATTATAAATTCGGCATATGTCTTTCTTTTACGATTCTGCTGAATATTTAAATCTTGGTTCTTTAACATGACACAAGGCTTACCTCAATGGGCAATTTAAATTGTTATCCAATAAGTTCTTAGTAATAACCACCTCAGAAATGTAAACTGTGTGAAAAATCCGGAAAAATCTCCAAATTGAACCAATTATTAATTTATTAAGTAAAATGCACAAAAATTTTCTTCATAAAAAAATTAAAATATTTTTTTATTTATAAATAACTTCGTTCGATAAAATTTTTCTTATTGCGTCTCTTTAAATAAAATTAAATGTGATGGTTTTAGTATGGTGTTTTCAATAGAAATTTAGTGTGTAACAGTACAAAATAATTACTGAGCACTTTTCCCAAGTCTTCACACCAATTAACACGTCCGTGTTTGTTCAATAGTTCAACACATAGTTCCGTAACCATTTTTCGTTTTTCAATCGTATATAGTAAAGTTTCAGCAGAGTTCTTTAATAAAACTCGTTGTTGATCATCCAAAAATGTACAAGGCTCAAGAGTTTCAGTGACTTCCATGACACATCGTTCGCATTTGCATTTGAAATAGAATTCATGTTCGATGATTTTTTGTCGCTCGAGAAATGGACTTTGAAATTTCGTTCCATGATATGATATGCAAATTTGTTCACCGCTTTTAATCGGACGGCATATTGTTGTTACGACATAACCATCGATTGGTAACATAATGGCTGTTGATGAAATAAAAAAGCAAAAAAAAAAAAATGGTTAAATGAAGTAAAGTCTGTTTTCAAAACTTCTTTGAATAGAAAACCGAATTATGCCAGAGCATTACTCACCGTTCGGTATGCAGGAATGATTAAAATAACCTCCAATGACCGGTATTACAAGTTTGTTCCGAAATTCAATGCCGTTGGCAATGTTCCTTCTGATACTAATGTGATGTCCAATCAAATGCATTAAAAATCGTTGATGATGTTTTGTTGTGAATTTTTCGGCAATTGGTCTATGTCCCATAAGTGCATTATAAATTGATTGAATATTTGATTTAGTAGTGTTACTTCCGTCTGGATGATTTTTATCGAAATGTCGCAAAAAAATACTGTATTGTGAGCGGCCATCTATAGAATCGGGCGGAAATTTCATTTGATCGTCTACTATAACATTTTCAACAAATTCCTTCAATTCGTTAACGTTTCTTCCGAAAATATTCAGAGCAACAACAATAGATCGTACAACGGGTAAAAAATCCTCTCTGACTAGCGATATAGTTTTCGGCAATTGCAGTCCACATTCCAACGAATGAATATCACAAATTTCACATGAATCAAGGCAAAATAATGCACGTGTACAATGTTTACATGGCACTAAATTTGTGTATGTGGAAAAACACTTGGTGCACCGTTGCTCATTGCCAATTGACAATGTTGTAAATGCACGTTCCATCAATACCGTTTTACCAACATCAATATCGGCCGTGGCAACGATATGTAATCCAAACTCTTGATTTCGTTCAATTCGCAGTACATCAGCCAAACCGGGAAATTTTTCATGCGATGGATAACTTAATTTCGGTACAAATGATTCGGATTGCTTTCCTACGTCGAGTAAATTCACACAATTTTCCTGTTGTTGTTCCAATTCATCAATTTTTGAGTATTTGTACTGTTTGGCCAAGTCAATATCAACTAAAGATTCTTTGTACATTTTCATTTCGTAGAAGCATTTTGAGCGGTTTGCAAAACAATAGCTCATTTGCTCATTACTTTCGGCAAAACATAATGCTTTACTAAAAAAACTCAATGCATTTGACCACCTGCTTTCTTCGACTTCATCATCTCCTTTTTTACTCATTTCACGCGATGCACGATCACTTTTGATTTGCACATTATTCAATTGCTCACGTTGACGTACAGTACACAAATTAACATAGAGTGCATTTCGTTTATCCGACTCTTTACTCCACAGGAATTTATTCTCTTTCTTTTTCCACATCATTTTGTTGATTGAATATATTGTAAATACAAAAAAAGAATTGGTTTAGTTTGTTTCGCTTACAATCACGTGTAGAACTGTCAAAATGTACTGAATGAAATGTCAGTTTCATCGGTTGCTATTGTGAACTAGCAAATAGCGACACTCAACCGATTCGTCTGTCTTAATCGTCGACGCTTACATATACATGCACACACTCTTTTGACTTTATGTGTTCCTGTTCTCTATGTGTTTGTGTGTCCGTTTGCCTTAAAACCAAAACATTTCTGTATTCACGTTGCTACTGAGCACATTTTTTTTTGTTCATTTTTAACTTAACACACTTGATTCAATTTAAACGTGCCACTTTTTCTGTTCAATTGTGAAATATAATTTTGATCTGATTAGATTGTCGTACAGCAGACGATGATTTCACTACTTTCTTATGCCAATCACAACGGCAACTTCAGTGGCAATTTTACATTAACACATTTACGAAATATACACAAAAAAAAAAAAACGTTTCGTTGTTGACACACAAGTGTTAACTATTTTTAGAATATATTTTTGGATAAAATATTGTGTTGATTGAAATTTGTGTTGTATAAGATTTGGCAAACTTGTTTTCAAATCACGACAGTCTTTACATTGAGCGCAATGTTGTCTAGTTCCTTTAGTTTATTAAATACAATTCTCTCGGTGATGTGATAACAAATTTAAGAAAGCACAGTACGACATACCTATACAAACATGCACACACAATCTCTCATGCATATCACAAACGTATACACTTGTACTCTCTGTTTCGGTTTACTTCGTAATTCGTTCTTTACAGTTCGTGCTTCTTTACTTGATCGCATGTTCAACAGCAATAATATGAGCACGCTTTGATGCCGGTTAAACGAAACGTACTGTATGAAAGAGATATATATATAGAAAATACTAGCACCATATCATGTTGTTGACAGAATGAACGATAAAACAAAATTGTATCATTGCAACAACGTACATGACTCATAATTTAAATGCCAAGCAATGCCTACCAAATTATCAGCGAAAACAAAATATTTGCTGCTTACGTATGCCATCAAATTGAATTCAATAATTTTGCGACATTTTTAACGCTTGAAATATGACAATTAAATAGGAAAAAATCTTTTTGCGATCTGATTTATTTCAATTACAATCTGTACCAACTAATTTCGTTAAAAGCAAAACAAAAACCGGTATTGGTTATAACATTAAATGTGTGTATTGGTTCAATGTTTGGTTAAACTGATGGTAAAGGACATCAAAAATACGATATGGATAGATATACTGTTTTTTCCCAAATATTCAATCGTCTTGTATTTTATGATACACACACACAGACACGGTCCCACGTACACCGTTTACATTGCGAACTTTGTGTAGCTCATGTTGGTCATTTTCGTCGTCATCATTTTATCTCAATATGTCGAAGTGCACAGTAATTTGATATATATCTGCTAGCAATTTTGTTGGCACACGTGAATGTGCTCTTGCTGTATATATTAAGTGCATTGATAAAATAGATTTGTCTACATCTTCACATGGTTTTGTTGAAGAGAGACAAGACGACCGAAGTGCAAATCAAAATTGAAGGTGAAGAGCAAAACTTTATTTGGTTCGATGTCCGTTCCGATTTATGTCGTTTGCCACTTTTCATATTTAAACGGAGCAATAACATGGTGGATGTGTATGTCCAATGTCCATTTAATGTGTCTTATTTATATCATACTTGATGCTAAATTTTCAGATATTTTTCCAGAGTGTCTTTATATCGAACTGACACAGTCACCGGGACGTACGGAAATTCATAAATGGAAAACGACCAAAGATAGAAAATATGTGTCTTTCAGAGGCTATATTTTGAACACGGCTCGTGTGTTCAATGTTGATGCGTTCGAGTAGCTAATGGTATCCAAGAAATCTGTCATATGATAGACAGCTAGTTGATGCATTTTATCGGACGATTTTCTTTTTGACAATCAATAATATTCAAGGTGACTAGCTGTGATAGAAGTGAAGCTAATTTTAGTGCTGGAGTCGAGATTTTTGCCATATTAGATTGCAAATGGATGAACATTGTGATCATTTTCCATCATTCAGAGAGGGAGAGAGAGAGAGAAGTTCCTATTTATACACTGAAGCATATAAAACAATTAAACAGTTTTGTGATTAAAATAAAAATGATGTTTATCCATGACGAATTTTCTGTTCAATGCTCTGTGCTTGTTTTATTTTTGAATATACATCCATTACCAGTTTAAGCAATAAACAGTTTGAAATATGTGTTGATTAGTTTTTTTTTGTTTTAAGATGCTTGAAATTTCGCCGATTTTACGAGGCTCAAAGTATTTCTTCCAATATGAATACATCGTAACACTGGATCGCTAAATCCAACAAAATAGAATCTATTTTTTTAAAATTGAAATCATGATGTCATTCCGTTAAAAAAAAAATTCCAACAAGAATGAATGAACAACCAAAAGTGGGAGTGAATGGGCGAGTGTATTTGTGAGACTTAAGGATAGAGATAAAAATGAAAAGAAAGACAGAGAGTCATTTAAATAGTGTTATTTCTCGGTATTTGGATAACATTTATGTCAAGTTTGCCCTTATGAAAGAAATAAGAATGAACAAAGCGTCTTTTTGTCCAACTCCAGTCACTTCAATACAAAGTATGATTTATTTAATCGAATGCAATTACGGATCGAGTGGAAGCAGCACAGCGGAAAATCTTAAAAAAAAAGAGAAATTCCATTAATGAAACAGAGAAAAAGAACCATTGAAAATTAAAAGACGAAAAATGTGATTAAGTCAGAGATTACTTGGAATTGTTACGTTTTGTGAGTGCCTGTGTGTGTGTGTGTGTTTCGATTGTACATTTTAATTAGGAAATTGCATTATCATCATCAGCGTTGATTAAGGAAGCACAAAGAAAGTTCAAAGTTCACTCATAGATCTCTATCTATAATAGTCATTCACTGGAAAATGGAAAATGTCGTTCACTATGGATAATTTCGAATCAGTTCACATCGAACAAAATAAAATAGCAATTGATGCATATTTCATGTGATGCGCTATAAAACGACGAGAAATAAAAGTCTCAACGCAAAAAAAATGACTAAATGCCACTCAAAATAGATTTCATCATTTGATTTACGTTAGCAAAGCGAAGGATTTTTCAATTTTTCGCACCTGACGTTTGCCAGACGAATAAGATAGATACTGAATTTATGTTCATTTTATTGGATTCACCGTTGTTCAAAGCATAAAAATCGATTGTTCTTATTATGGTTTCGTGCACTTTACACCAAATCGTCACAACGCAAAAAAAGGTAGAACAACATTGATAAAATAAACAACAAATAAATGATTTTACAATCTAAAGTATGGCAAGCAAAAAAAGTGAAGAAATTACGGGCCACTTTGTTGCTCGGGGAAAATGGCAATAGCACAATGTTGTGCACAAGAAAATTGAAAGAGAGAGCATCATCATCATAACACCGGAAATAGCGAATCAAATTCAACGGAAAATGTCATGCTGAGATGCAATTTGGAATTGTGGCTTCACATTTGCTTGCAACCATCGTTCGAAAAATGGCTTCGATGTCGGTCTGTTTCTTACCTCTCCCTTCTCACTCTCTCTTGCTTTGCTCACAGTTTTTCTTTTTTTTTTGGTATTTAATCAATTGGTTTCAGCTCCAATAATTTTTCTCTAAATGTTCGGTTTTGATGTGTTTGCCCAATATTACTTCATATTTATTTATACATCCATACGAAATGGCCGTGTGATGCCGTTTCAGCCAATATCCATTTTGACTGGCACACGGTTGACGAGGTTCATTTCATTCCATTTTATATTTTTCGCAAATCTGATTTTTCTTCCATTTCCACAGCCATTTTTACTTTAGCAGCGACAGCAACTCTTTCATTGTACTATTTCTTTTTGTTGTTGTTGCTGCTGCTTCGTGTTATTTATTTATATCTGTAATTTCTCTGGCGCTTTGCTTCCGTACCGTCATTTTATTGTGAGTACGTGATGCGACATAATAATGTGATCGTTATACACATTATGTGTATTTTTGTAGTTAGAAAGATGCCATTGTACGCCTCACCATAACGAAATACAACCGCAAAATTGGAGTTTGAGCCCTCTGTCGTTCACTTCTCTACTTGCCAGTGCTGCACCGACATCGGTGGTTCTGGCAATGATGGGAATAGAAACTCTTTTTTTTTGCACCACATACACCAAGTCTATATTGCGATTTGGATTTTTATTTTACGTTGACAATATAAATCCATCTTGAAAGTGCACGACACACATTTTACGCGATGAATATAATAAAAATGATATTTTCGTTATAAGAAAATTATAATTCAATGTTTACGGTTTTGTTTGTTGATGTTGGTACATTTTATACTGTATAAACAAGATTTTTGTTGGTTCCGTTTTTTTGCCTCCCTTGCACCGCATGTTGAACTTAATGTGCATAAAAATTCGTCCATAATAATTTACTGCAGCTACGGAATATCGTGCAAAAATGTTGTAGCAATCATTTTATCTCTTTGTTTTATCTTTTTTACTCGCCGAGTATTCATCGAGCAAACAATAGCTTGGCCATTAAATAAAAACGACGCTGATTTTTACGTTATTGAATTGCATTTGTTTTGTCGAAATTAATAATTAAAGTGAGATCATGCGGTGTCTCGACTGCATTCCATTTTTTCTCCTGTTGTGTTGTTTGTGCCACACTTGAGTTATGAGTGTCGTGTCAATTTACTTAATAACCTGTGAGTGGTGTGTATTGAATTTGACTCTTGTACGGCGTCGACGAATCATTGACACAGGCTTTTCATCAAATGAAAATCTGTCTCTCGCTCTGAGACTCAGTTCGATTGTGAAGATTTAGCCGTTGAGAGTTTATTGTGCATGCATTAGAATATGGCTTATGAATGTATTATGTGATTTGCCAATTTTTTTTTTCGCTCTATTCATTCTTCGAAAGCAACAACGTCTTTTATTATATTTCAATCGCCCAAACAATTCACTTTTCGTATTGTCGCGCGAGCACACACGATGTGCGGAAAAACGTGCCATGAAATTCATGTTCAATATATTAATGTATTTTCATATTGGTGTGTCCCTTTTGCGATGACGACATACACACACACTCTCCTCATACCTCACATGTTAAATGCTTGAATAGAAGCATGAATATAACATAGTCGAATAGGAGGATACACCGGGAAATGTATTCCACATTAAAGGCAAAATGCATTAGATAAGGGTCACATTTGCTGTTTGCGTTCTCTCGTTTCATTGAGAAATGGAATTCTCTTTGCTATAATGGCAAGATACAGACGACAAATGCGATGATTTTTGCGTCAAAAGGGAAACAAAGACACACAACCAACCGAGCGATAACGATGATAACATTATGAGTATATATATGCACCTATAAATACAACCTGACCATAGCCATTCATAGTCAAAGAGAAATGCCAAAGTGGTAAATACATTTCATTTCATTCCATTCACTTATTTATGTCGAATAATGACGACTATTTTTCGGCTTGTGTCAAAGAGAAGAACACAGAGCACAATATATTGTTTGTTTGCTTCACGAAGGACGACTTTTTGCACTTTGGCTAAGTGTT